CTCTCTCTCTTTTGATATACAGTCGTTCAGTCCGAACACAACCTCAACACTTTAACAACTACTCGAGGAACACAGAGTAATGGTTTATATCCAAGTCGCTTTGGCAAAAGACATCTTCCACTTACAAAGTAATGGTAAAACATTGTATTATCACCCACACCATTTAAATGGATCCACATTGCTTGATGACCCAACCAAAACAGCTTCTGCTAGAAGTTGGAGCGAAATGTGGAACCACTTCTTCAATTTCAAGCAATAAGTTGCTCACGAATCTTTTTCTCTACATCATCACTTTAATTTATGAATCGCTCGTCGATTTGATGTGTGATGATGAATTCAATGTTTGGGATACAAAAACAACAAATAAACTCATTCCAACACTTGAAAAAGAATCTGAACGAACGATTAATTTATGACAATTAGGTCTCTCTTCGAATCAATTCCACATTGAACTTTATTCGGCACCACCACTTCCAGCACTCGAGCGAGCAATGTTAAGGATGTTCTTGATACGAGCATTCAATTCTGCGATCTGGTTCATGACGGATGTTTGTTGTTGGGAAGAAGAACCTTGCTGGGAGACACTGCTGGCAACACTACTCCGCTCCATTGCCATCTTCATGAGACTGGCTGTGTAACGAATACGCTCTCGAGAAACATCAACATCAATCTTGCTTGGGAAGCGAGGTATTTTCGTTCCTACACAAATACAGAAGGGTTGATCATTCGAGATGGCAAGCAATGACATGGGAGTTACTCCACCAGGTAATGTCAACAACACTGTTTCCATTCTCTTTAAAACTTCATTGTAGTAGGAAAGTTGTTGGGAAATACTAGAGCTACTGCCAGCACCACTTCCACCACTGCTCGTTGTGAGTAGAATTCTATTCAAACGATTCCAGTCCAAATGAGGCACGTATAAATAGTCAGTTCCCCATGGATCTTTGGGTACCTTATTCAATTCTCCACCCTCCAACAAATCTTCCAAAGCAAGTGGATATTTGCCATGTCTTGTATAGTACAACACAAGACCTTCTTGAAGTTTGGCTAAATCCAAAAGAGCATTACTCACTCTACTTTCTTCGTAAACTTGAGCAAGCACAGCTCCTGTAAGACCAGAAAATGTCACAATAATGGAAATGGCAATTAAAATCTCAATCATACTGAGATGATGTACTGAAATTTGAGGAATAGAAATTTTCAAATCATGATTGTTCAATAATCCAATATTGCCTTTCGTGTGCTTCAGTACGTTGGAGATTGATGACAAGTATGTACCCAATAATTTACGTAATATGGATGATGAAGGATCTTTCATATCTGAAAGTGCCATTCCTGTCACAGAAATCACAGGCAAGTATGGTAATAAAATCTTGGTGTAGTAAGAAGTTGGATTTTGCAAAAGTTTTTGTTGTGCTACACGCCAGTAAAGTTTTAAGAATTGAATCCATCGTGGTTGTGGTTTGTGTGTGAATCGCTTAAATTTGGAAGGACTACGTTTTGTAAAATGTTCACCTATTGGTTGTTGTTGTTGTTGCTGGGTTTGATGAATTAAAAAGTTTTGAATAGTGTACACCATGAGTCGTATTCGTTCCCTCCACAAATCGGAAATGTTATGGTTCTTGGTTAAATGTTCATGAATATTATTATTATTATTATTGTTAAAATCATTAAAAGTGTAATGATTGATATTTTCGTTTCCGTTGTGAGATTGGTATTGATTTTTAGAGTTTTCGAAGCGATCGGGAAATAAGTGATTTGCAATTTTATAAATTCGTTGCTCTTGTTTTTCATTTGATGGCAGCGACCAACGACGTCCTTGCATTAATTCATTATTATTATTATTTTTATCACTATTATCGTTGTTATTATTCTTTTGTTGATTCGCATCATGATGACGATGACTATGGAATCTCATCATTGGAGAGGACACCCGATGAGAATGACCCATCAGTAGTGGATGGTGTTGTGAAATCATTTCGGAATTTTTTTCCTTGCTCCGCGGAGTGCCTTCATAGCTTCTTCGCGATAGGGAATAACGTTCGAAGAAAAACCTTAATAACAACAATTGGAGCAGTGTGGGCTTGGTCTTAAGGACAATGTCATTCAAATCATCATATCTTGGAGATGAAAAATTGGACTTGTCATGGAGCAATCTCTCTTGATTTGTGTTGGTTGATACAAATCGAAAGAAACAGAAGATGATTTCAGAAAGTGCTTCAATCGTAGCCAGAATCCATCGAATCAACCATTCAAACATTGCATCTCCTCTTCAATTGTTCATACTTCTTCTAAAATTGATCTTCAAATTTCAGTGAAAGCTGACGTTTGCTCGCCTCAATGTTTCGATCCAAATCAGCAACACCCATCATTCAAAAAAATACTTTAAAACACAATCGAATTGACAAGTTGCTGTTGTTCACCGTTTTTGCTGCACTGATCATCTGAACACACTGATTTCGATCTCATTGCAACACAAAAAGGTGAGTCACCAATACATTTCGTCGGATCAAACGTTTTGGGATGATAAAAACAATAACAACATCTTTTGTATCTATGGATTGATCGAAATCGGATGATGATTGTGAATCGTTGTTGTGTGTGCGTGTTGTGAATAGACATTGAAACAACAACAACAACCATTGCGATTCTGTAATATATTATTATTTTCATCATTGTCGTATCCGAATTTAAAGCTTTTTCACAACAACACTTTCTCTATTGATTATTGTGAAAAATGTCATCCATTTCTGCACAGGCGTTTCTCGTGCCCATTGAATCATCTAATAGCAACACTACTTCCTCTCTACAAGTCTATCAACATACATCGATTGCCTCTTCGACACTTATTTACAATTATGGAGGTGAAGATTCGAATGGTTTCTGGACCAATCGATTGAGTGTGTTAAATCTTGCCGCTGGTTCAGGTTTTAAAAAACAGACCAAGCTTAAATCTTTGGAGTGGGAGAAGCCCAAATATAATTCATTTCCTCCCAAGAAAGATGGTCACGTCATGATGTTGACGTGTGGCAGTGCAGGCAATGCTCAAAAGAAAATATTTCTATTTGGAGGAAATGACAATCAGAACATTTCTGGAAATAATAATGCACTCTATTCGATCGATTTGGAGAATTTGACATGGAAAATCGAAATGAAACATCAAGATGATCATTCTCGACCATTTGGTAGATCGCATTCTGCATTTACACAAATTAAGAATTATTTATACATGTTCGGAGGAAAGATTACTTCTTTGCAATCCTCATCAAATGGCTCAGATCCGACATCGGTCTCAGTCAAAACACTGGATGATTTTTGGATGTTTAATTGTGAGAATTTAACATGGAAGAAACTTTCGAACAAGTTGTTGTCGACAAATGAATCTCTTCCAAAATTAACAGGAGCCACTTTGTGTGCCTCTTCGAAGGGTACTGACTTGTTCCTATATGGAGGAGTCTGTGACAAAGAATACAGCAATGAATTGTACAAGTATTCTGTGAAGAATGATTCATGGGAATGTATCACTTCTAAAATGAAAGGTGACATTCCCCAATTTGGAAGAGAACGACACGCATGTTGTCTTTTATCAAAATCCAATGAAATGCTCATTAGTGGAGGTTGGATCTTTGGTGGAGTGAGTTCACAAATACTCTCTCTTAATTTAGATACATTGGTCTGGAAGAATGTGAATGTTTCAATGGGATCCAATTCGATGGAATCAAAAATGTTGCAACGATATGGACACACCATGGTTGCATTGGAAGGAGCTGTCAATGAACAAATTCCATTAGTTGTCATGATTGGAGGAAAAGATTTAACCATGAGTAATCGTGGAGAAGTGATTTTGATTGCTCTCCATTCGAAAGATGCCACTTGGACCACTCTTGCACAAAGTTTTGGACAGAAACAAGATCATTCATTGAATGAAGAATGGACACGGTATGAGAAGGTGAGTGGATTATTGCCAGCCACTCCAATGACCGATGATTACTTGTCGAGTATGTTGGGAGTGACTTCCACTGTATCTTCATCACCATCAATGGTCGCAACCACAAGCACTACTACCAGCACCACCAGCACCGCTACAAGTACACCTCCTGCAGTTCCAAAGCGTCCTTCCTTCTCGAAAGCAAGTACTGGTGACTCAACCAAACAAGAGAATGTGAGTGAATCGACAATCTCAAGTACTACTCCACCCTCTATTCCAAAACGTCCAGTAAGAAAGGAAGAGGACACTCCTCCAAAGAAGAGCACCTCCTCGTCAACCGTTGAGGAAGAAACAAAGAAGCCCTCGACATCTGCCATCATCACCACCACCAGTACAGAATCTAAACCAACCACAAGTGGTTCCAAGACTGTTAAGGTTGATTCAACTATGTCACCTTCAGCAGATGCCATTTCTGAAAAATTGCAAGAGGCTGAACAACGTCCAAAGCTTGAATTGGCCAAAAAAGGAGCCAGAATGCAACAAAGAAAGCCAAAAACTGTCAATGCAGATTTATCGAAATTGGATAAGGTCACCAAAGAAGCCACTCTTGATGTTCCAGATGATTCCAAATTCAAAAAGTTAGAAATTGAATCAAAGAAGGTTGTTACTCCTACCAACGAAGAACAGCCATCGGGCGAAAGCAGCTCTCAAGATAAAAAGCCAAAGTTTGGTGTTGGAATCGGAGGCAACCCAATGATGAGCGAATTAGCATCCAAGCTCAAGAAAAAATAAATTTATAAGAGAGCGGATTGTACAAATATTAACTCTTCAATGAGGTGACAGTATTTTCGTAATTGAGGTTCGTCATCGCCTAGAACTTCTTTTCTTGGAATAATTTTAGCTTCTTCGTTTTGAATTTGATCATTGTTGTAGAGCTCTTGATATTTGGCATAGAGCTTTTCGAATCTTTCTTTTCCGAAAATTTGTTCGTTCTGTTTTATAAGGCTGTTGACACGATCCTCTAAACGTCCAACCACAGGAATGTCATCGTAATCTGTCTCTTCATAATAGTCCTCTTCTTCTTCGTCCTCGCTGTCCTCTTCTGTTTCGTATTCAACTTCTTCCTCACTTGACTCCATCCCTTCATTACTGTCGTCGCTGTCTCCAAACATGGTGTCTTCAACTTTGCAAGCTTTATCTTCACCTGAGCTACCATTATTCTGATTGATGACATTATTGTTGTTCATTATCATGCTCTCCTTCTTTCGCTTAAGAGTTTCAATTTTCTTCATTGTCCCAAGTTAATCATTTCGGTGTACTCCTTCTCAATTTCAGAATCAATTTCTGCTTGTCTTTGAAGTATGGATTCTTTATCAAGAACAGATGGTATCTTTGGTGGCTCCACAACCTCTTTCTTTGGTGCCTTGTCAACTCCCACAATATTGTGTTGATTGTGGAAAAGATTAAAATGTTGATTTTTAGCAGCAACTCTGCTTGCATGATATTCAACTCTTGCTTCCTTGAGCTTTTGCTTTTGTTCTTCTTCTTCCTTAATTTTCTTTTGCTGCCTTTCAAAAAAGAATACGTTCCTTTTCATTGGTGAAAGTTGGAGGTGTCTTTGATGGAGGTTCAAACTTGGAAGGAAGGTTAAGTCCTTGAAATTTTTTGCTAAACTCTTGAAATGCATGATCGTCTTCTTTTTTGGGTTCTCTGTCTTTTCGCATTTGTTCGAGAGCTTTCTCAATTCTCATTTGCTCTTTTTGAAGTTTCATAATTTCAGAATCTATTTTCTTTTCTCGTACAGCAATATCATTGTTGGATGATTGAGGTCTTGACGATGGTTGGACTTTTGGTTGAGGTTTTGGAGGGATT